AGCTGAGTGTCGGTTGAACCGATAGTGTCATCTGTGATGGCTAACGAAATTGGACATGTTCCTTCCAAAGTCGTTTGCTCATCCCATTCGATGTCAAGTGGGCCAAAGGTAACCCTCCAGGATGCACTGTAGCCCCCTATACCGATTGTAGTGGCCGTTAACGCGGTAACGCATGAGTTCTTATAGAATGATAAGGACTATCACGAATGCTAGCATCGTGATAGTAGGCACGACAACCAGCAAAACGTACAGCTCACATCGAAAAAAGAAAAAAACTATCCGACAAGCAAGAACCCCCGCGCTTCTACACTGAGCGACTGGCCCACCGACTCAGACGGCTTCCTACTCACACGTTTCTTTGCTCCCCACTATTATCGTTAGCTCACCGTTGGCCCATCGCCGTAACGAAGGGAACCAAAGCGGGCAGATGAATGAATTTATCCCTTTATTTTCTTTTCGTCTTCAACTCATTTCGTCTGTTCGGCTCCTTTTGTTTGCTTGTCTAGTCCCAACCCGGCTTTGTTCCGACCACCGAATCTTCGTGGCAGCAGCAGGTCTTCGGCGGCAGCGCAACGCCGCCGTTTGAGCAGGCCCGTCTTGCCCTATCTTAATTAATCCCCTTTGCAACGCGGAACAAGCCACAGCGCACAGAACTTGCGGATTCACTAGTGCGAGTGGCTTAGCCTCTTGTCCTGAATTGGCATCCCCCTCATCTCTGCCCCTGGCGCCTTCCCGAGCTGCAGAAATGGAAGATGAAAAAGGCTGGCTCGCTGGCTGGCGGACTTCCGTCGCGGCTTGATGGAGACGAAGCAGAAAAAGCTAGATGGGAGAACCCCATCTCGTCTTGCTTTTGCGGAATTAGAGTTTGTGGGCGGATGAGCCTTCGTGTGCGTGTGTGTGTCCATGAGCTAGCCCATGTATACTAACCAGCTGGCTGTACTTTGCTGACTGTATGGCGATTGACAGCCATCCAACAGCACGCTTTTGCCCCCTATGCCGCATAGGAAGCGGCAAAAGGGATGGACAACAGACGCGAATATCCAGTACCCATACGAACGCCCGCCCGCCCGTCGGCACAGGCGCCGAACGGAATCGAATGAAAAAAAAACCAACAAAAAAAATAAGAACACCAAGGCGAACCGAAGGCCACGAATCACGAGAAAACCCACGACGAAGCGCAGAAGGCCAGAATAAGGCGACAGTGACAAGAGCCAAAATCGGCTTAAATTTAAAAGCCTTTATTTTTTTTCTTTCTGCATGTCCTCTTGGCTCTCCTACTATCAACGCTTTTATCCTGTACCACTCGTCTTCGCCAGTCAATTTATTTGGTGGTTCCAACTTCGTCCCCAGCCTGACTCCGTCCCACCGGTGCTGCAGAGTTCCTCCAGCGATCTTCTGCACTCTTCTTATCCTCCTTTTTTTCGTGCAGCAGACAGGTTTCCCGACCCCAGGGCGTCCGATCGCTCGCGTTTACTTTCTGTCTTCGATGACATTTGTTCGTTCTCTTTATTCCGCTTGATTTGTTCCCAGCAGCGACAGCAGCACTGGTACCCCAAAGCGATGCGTCAGTTGGGCAGCGACGAAAGATTTTTACGGGTTCTAGCATACGCGTGCCGATGATATTTGCCACTGGCCAGGGGACACTGGTAGACGAGTTGCTCCGCATCTTGTCGCTTGCTGCTCGAGATAGTAGGAAAACGGAGCGCAATGGGTAACACTACACCAATCCTCCAGCTCACTTACTGCGGTCCCACTTGCATAAGTGGACTATTGCTCTCGACTGGGACACTTCAACGGGTCCTACTATTGCTCGCCGCTGCGCCTACACCGTTTCACTGTTGTGAAACATCCATACTCAGTGACGCCGGCTTTCCTTTTATCTCGCTTTCGCGTTCCTGACCCCCTGACCATCGATTCCATTTTCAAGGTCCCTAACTGTGCCTGGCTGGGCTTAACGTCTCTCCTCGTCCCTGCGTTCCGTTTGCCCTTGATCTGCCAGTGCTCTGTCTATCTGCTGTCGACCTGTCTGATGTCCAAGAGCGGCGTGGAGAAAGACAGTAATAGAACAAGACGTTCACGTTCTCGAGACTCTCGGTGTCTTTCAACTGTCGAACTTCACGAAGCCTTTGAAAGCCCAAGAAGAAGGTGGACGAAGACCGATCGACAAAAGCGGCAAATTTGAACGAAATAATCACGTGCGCATGAATCGCTTAGGGCAACATGTACAGAAATCACTGACGAAGCTGCTCATGCAGAAAGATCTTGTCATAGACATATAAGCCTGCCCACAGTGGTTAGCGATTAACTAAAACTATAGTAACAGTATAAGAATCCCCACCACCTTTTTACTGTTTTTTTCTTCTAATAAACAACGCTTTTTGTAAGGCAAGTTGTTTCACAGTCACGTGTCTCAGATAATACGAATTGTGCCGGGTCGGCGTTGGCGTCACTTACAAGTTTAATCTGACTGTAGTAAACAGTAGTAGACGACAGTGTAACGCTGTTGGAGGACCTTTGTTTAGACTTGAAGACGAATGAATCTTTTCTACAAGTGTGTTATACTTTATAATTCTATTACGATAAAGCAATAAAAAAAAAGCTGCCTGGGCCGTTAAAAATGTTGCTTTTGTTTATGATACGTTATCGAGGGAAGTAGTTTAAAGTTGATTCTGTCGCTTCTTCTTTTAGATTTTGATGTAAAAGATGCTCGTCGTAGTGGTCGATCAGTGACGAAAAAAAGTTCACGAGATCAGTGCGAAAGTTGAGTAACTATCACTAAGTTTTCAATCTTTTGATGAAAGTTAACTACAAAATCACTCAATGTGATAAAACATAATCGATCCAATTTCCATTTGTGATAATTTTTAAAAATATAAAGAAATGTAATATTCAAAGTGGCTGATGACGGGTGACGAAAGTTAGATCACATACACTAATGTGCAAATGGAAAAAATATAACCCACAATCTGTGATTTGACTTAGGTTGACATCAAAGACGCCCAACGGGATTGGTAAGAAATTGTTGCCGCCTAACAAAACAGTATATCAGCACCTGTACTACAAACAACTAACAAGACTACAATAGATCACTGAAGTTAGCAACATTACATTACTAGAGCATGTACATGTCTTAAATTGGTAAAAATTTAATAGTTAATAATTTTAGAATAATATAATTACAGTGTAGGCCGGGCCTTGTGGCACCAGGCCACAAGTGTTTCGGCCCTTACAAAACTTGCTCAATGGTATTTATTTAGCTTCAGTCGAAGGATGCAAAAATGGCCGTCTCAACTCTTCGTTCAGAAACCACAATGATGGAATTATGTTATTTTCAAAAAAGGTCGTCGATCAAAATGACGTATAGTAAATTTATTAAAATTAGTTAGAATATAAAAGTATTTGGTTCAATTTTGGCTTAAAAACCATCAATGCTGTTTTAGGAACTCAATCTATCTAGTGCTGGTAACCATTATTGTGCGGATCTACAATGTTTTGATCCGTTATTTCGATGGCCCTTCGCATTTCTCTACTTGACAGAAGTACAAAAACGTGATTGATCTACCCCAGATGCTTGTTCCGCAGTGGCAATGTTAATAATGCGGTATTGTTTCAACTTACAACGGACTAAACTATGGAACTGGCGGCGGCCCTATGGTCGCGCACAGAATATAAGGCCCGGTTGGGACCTTAAAAGCGTTTGAAAGGCTCAATCTTTGGTGATGATAAAGGCCAGATTCCAGATTTCGAGTTGAAGGCAAGGAAGCATAAGCGACAGTAGCGAACGAAGCCACTAAGATGAGCGTGTATCTTGACTTCGTTGGTCGGTCGACTTTGCCGACCCACTGGTAAACTTCAGTAACATGATGAGCTTGAGACTATAGCAGCAAGAAACGGCAGGACTTTAGAACAGAGCTGCGGCCCCAGTCGATATAGAGGCAGCGGTGATGGCGGCAGTTCGAAAGACTAGAAGCAGTTTGCCTTGGGCAACGAAGCGGCACACGCCGGCATCATTTATCGCAAAGTGCAACCGATGCCGATAACCGTTGGCGGGTGAAGACGGCTGGTGCCGCGGCGCAAAGCAGAAACGGAGTTGGTCGACAAAGATCAGAACAGCGTCAGGTCTAAGGCTGCAAAGCACAAACAACTCAGGCCGTTCGCATGGCTCCTTCGTTGGCTGACTGGCTGGTCCACTAAAGCGGTTCTCTCGCGAACGCCGACGACCCATCTAACCTTATCTCCGATCCGGAGGCTAGAAGTATATGGATAAAAGGAGAACGAAATAAAATAGCAGCGAGCTGTTTCCCGCATTCGCTACTACTAGGATAACTGCTGCTATTTTCGGGTCGAAAGAAAAACTTAGCCGGGCTGGCCATCCGGGCGAGCTGGGTCTGTGTGATCAACTGGGCGCGTCAAGTGGCGCTCAAGGGCCAGATCGGTAAGCCATAATATTGGCGATGGATAATCGCTTTAAGGCTAGTAATTCCGGAGCGACTGATTCAGACATACCGATGAAGCGAACAACTGACAGATACTATATTCACCGTGACTATAAGTAAACGTTCAACGATGTGACAAACATTAAATATTAGCGACGTTACGTTACTAATTGAATAACTTCTATTAATTAACTTCTATTAATTCTAGAAGGAGTATTAATTCGAGGGTGATTTTATCAAGGTTATAACCTGACCAAAATTGAACCGCAGTCGGATTACCGCACGGTACGTGTAGTTAATGTTTCCTCTTTGTGCATCAGGACCTCTGTAAGTAGATTGATTCTTTTTAACTGATCACGACTCGATCGTGCATTACTTAACATGCCATAACATAATGAAAGTTGCTGTCTATCAGTGCATAAGAAATACCCATTTAATGAAATCATCTACACAATATCTAAATAATGGATCCAGCCAACGTATACTATACAAGGACTGATTTCATGTCGGACACCGCCGCTCCGCAAAAGGTATGAGTAGGAGCTGGTCCCAGCCTGTACTTACCTCTGCACTCATGTCCAGCCGGCTCATGACCGGGTCGGCATTTGCAGCCGCCGGTGGGCAGGGTCCATTCGCCGTCACCTTTGCAGACGAGTCTCGGGGTTTCGACCATCTGTGCGTTAGACACGCAGCGGCCCTCTTGCGCCACGATCGCCGTGATATCTGCCGCCGTAGGCGTCTCTGGGAAGAAGGCATGATTGAGCGTCACGTTTGGGCACGTAATGTAGTAGACTCGCAGTGCGATGAGCGACAGGCACGCGCCCTCGTCACGCACGGCGAAGTATACACCGCGCTTCGTCACCGGAATAGAACGTACCTGAAAACGTGGTAACACACAATATGGAGACACAGGGTCAAGCATGGAGTTCATGGAGCATGGAACAACGAACACATAATTCGTACATATACGTGGACATATACATACACTTAAATGACTCATCCCCATCTAGAAGCGCGGAAGAGTAAAGATTTAGAGACCGAAATAGTCTTCGGGCCTCGAGTACTCGGGTAAGTGGGTACAAAATGTAAAACCAATCGACCCCATCAACTGAATGTGTGCACGAGTTGCCCAACCTTGGTTGCTGGTAATAGTCGAACTAGTATAGTCGAATAGTAGGACTTAAGCGAATCAGTCGATCATAGAAACAGGCTCGTTAAGTAAAAGTCCTCGTCAAGTACAGCGCTGGTCATACGGGATGCATTATATGTACATACGTGCATTTACCGCGGTGGCTACAGAATAAAGCGTGCACCTACGAAGGCTACGTTTACGGACATCTGCTGTGCATTATGTATTTGTTGGTGATACGAAAAACTCGAATTCCAGTTAATACGTAATGCCAATAGGTACATAGCGCTTTTGAGGGTCATGAAACGTTTTTTGCGACGTCTAGTGACTACGGTTTTGTATTGAAACCAACACACGAATAGGAGATAAATTAACAGTAGGAACATATCTAGCAGTACAATGGCCGTTAGCAGTGAAGATATTCTATATAATCGACAAACAATAGTTGACGCTAAACATTTGTCAGTATCACACTGGTTTAAACAGTGATTCATCTACTAGATTAAAAACCGTTGCTTGGGGCACATGCAGTACGAGACGGTAACCAGTAGCAGTAGCATTAAACGTTAACATTACCTGCTGCCATCCGCCATGCTAATGGGATAGAAATTACTGGGATATTGTAAATATTCTTTCTGCTTTAGACGGGCCTACACAATAAAGTTGCAGTTATAGCCTTCATGCTAATGGCGATTTCTATATATGGGAACTTACCTCTGTGTTGATGATAACTTCACTCGTCGAGGTGAAGCGTCCTTCGTCTGCTGCGATCCGGTCGATAAGTTTGTAGCTTTCGGGTTCCCACGGCGGCGTTTCTCGGGAGCCCTCATCTATCTCGTAGTAGAGTAGCGAAAACGTTTCCTTACAGCTGACGGCCATCCCAGGAAAGAGTGAACAGTCTCGCATTGAAAACTGTAGCTCGATATAGATGCGGGAAGCATTGCTGCGCTCGATCAATGGTGTCCATAACCAGTTGTTGACATCGCGGTACGCGACATCACAAACGACGTACGACCGCCAGTTGATGCCTTTCTCGAAATCCGTAAATGATTCCTCGACCCACTGTGACAATTCCCAAACACACAGCAAAAGTATCTTTATTTACCTTCGAAGATAAATATTGTAGGATAGTTTGTTCACATGTGTGAATCATTAGTAAATACCTACTTTCCGCTATTCTGCAATGAAGCCTAAAGTTTGGCCCCAAAGGCGGCTAAATCGGGTGACAGAAGTGCAGACACCAACATTATTTCAGCTATTTTCAAGATCAAAATGCTCTATCAGTAGCTCGTGCGGCGAGCGCTCGAATACAGAAAGGATCATTTAAAGGTGATCTACAAAATATAAATACGCCGTCTTAACCCGAAGCGTACACTCCCCCTGGAAAAACGCACTACCTGAAAAAAATGCCAGACCGCATTTCTAAGGAACAACTTTCGGCAAATGGCTTATGAATTGACAAATTCATTATAAATTAATATCCTGTGATAATTTAGGTGAGACGCTGTGTCTTTTACTAGCTTAAAATAACTGACTTTTGTTATGCACATATAAAAGGGGTACGGAATCTGTAGTGTTGCCCCATGCATAGGCGTATACCATCAACGCAATGGAGTATCATGTAATGGACGATAGCTCCTGACTGGGTAAATGAATTCACACCCCCTGCCAATTGCTGCGCCACCTCACGAGACTTGTTTGAGTCTAAAAAAGGGCTCTTGTCCGGACCTGAACAGCTCGTAGCCGTTTCAACTAATAAACTATATATATATATATATATATATATATATATATGAGGGGACGTAGTGTACTAGGCAACATAAATGAATGAACATCCGCCTTATCTTCCCGCGTATTATAGATGGCTTTTTGGACCATGACGCGAAGCAAGCATTACGGCTTCACATGTACAGTCGTGCTTGTAGCAGCTTTTATACTTTGGTTTACACCATTCTCCCGCTGGTGGCTGCCACCCACCAACTCTACATGCGCGATACGCCAAACCGCGTCAAGCTCCGGGGATTCCCTCACCCCCAACTATGACCTCTTAGCAAAAAGCCAGCTACAGCCCACATCTCTAAAGGCCTCCATAGCGGTCGCTGGGTCATAACATACCCCCTATTTGCCCATCCCGTCGAGTGCAGATCCACTATGCGTAATCTGCCACTCGGCTGAGTCATGTCAACGCCATAGAGCAGCGACGAAAATGAGCGGCCGGTCTGCTGCTATAGCCGCTACTGGAGAAATTGCAGTTCCGTCCACTCATTACAAGACCAGTGTCTTCTTTGCAAGTTTTTTTCTCTTGAAATATCGCCTACCCCTTTAGGCTTCTAACGGATCTAAGCAGTAGTCTTCTGCAGCAATTCAGCTAGGTCGCAATGAGGTTCGTCATGACGACACGCCTAAAGCTCTTCTCACTCATGAACTACATTACTGTTGCTGTAATCTCCACTGTTGGTTCGACTTTCTGGGGTCCGCTTGTTCGCGGAAACAGCAGGCCACATGTAAAAGCCGTCTATGTTTTCTGGAAAGCTTCAGCCAGCTTCGCTCTTCGCGAGAACGTTCGTTTCGTTGGGAGATGGCGTCGTGCGCATCCCTAGAAATTTTCTGCGAATCGTACACTGATATTTCAGTCTGCTGTACGATGTTCGATGTTTTTAAAAAATTGAAGCAAGCTATACACCGACGACTTAATACGGAGCTAGCCGTGCTAATCATAAAGGTCATTAGGAGTACCATAACGAAGGCCTATATTGTACAGACCTAGCGTAACGGACAGTAGGATCATTTAAAGACGACAATAAGTGTATTCGTAGAGTTATGGTCAGACTAGACTCAACAATCTTCTATAGCTACTCTATTTTTGAATATCGGACAATATTTCGTGTTTGCTAAACTATGAAATAGGCAACAGCAGAGGTATGAACGTTAGAGTATTAGACAAGGCACGTGGGTGAGCTCCTTCAACTTTGAAACAATTTAACACCTTGTATATCGTCATAGTCCGTATACGTAAGCTTTACATGTATGACATGTACAACTAGCACTTATACAGAGCATGTTTGTGGTGAGGATAATGCCCTCTCACTGGAATATTCATAATGAAGTTCTCCTAAATGAGCTTCACCTAGTGCGGCAACTAACTGGCACTGCCGTTGCAAAGTAATGAGCTTAAATATGTGTTATTTCTTTTGCTCGAACTGAATATGACGCATCCACCCCTGAACGTGAAGCCACTGAACAAAAACAAGAAAAAAAAACCGTTCGAATCTTTTCCTGCACAACCCCGAGGCCTTTTGAAAGTTAGCTTTTTTAGGTGTCACGGTTAGTACCGAACTCAGAGAATTAATTAGCCGAGGCGTAATGTTGTCCTCTAGAGGAACGGAACATCGAGAGGACATTGATTTCACTGTTTGTGATTATTTCTCCTGAGAACGTTTGCTCGGTGCGTCATCAGGATTAGGCAGTAGTTGTGGAGGCCCACGAAGGAATCCTTGCATTTTAGTGGCGGTTTTCGAGAGCCGTGACTGTAAACTAAATTGAGAGCTTTTTAAATAATGTATTATTAAGTTATGCTCAAATCGTTGTTGCTTCTGATAGGCGGCAAGTTAAGATCAAGCCGATGAGGAAGAGTCCGCACATTATTACTATTATTTTAGCTTAGTCATACTCACGGATAACACGGACCGTTTTATCTAAGATTTCCAAATACGTCGATCAGTGATTAACTATATTTGGCTAGGAAAATCACATCAATGTCATGTCAAAAGTGAATAAGGTAAGCTCTTCAAAAATACGGCAAAATGTCCTGCACTTTGTAATGAAATTGCAAGACCTGTACCGTATGCAAACCTTATCTAGAGAAAACAATTCAGGTGCACAAAACGCGCTTGTTTAGGTCTAGAGCAAACAAAGCGGCTAATAAAACACAGCCAAAGACAAACGAAAACATGCCCAAGGTACTCTTGTAGGTCGAAGGTCCAATGACCTAGTCTAATTGACATCATTCTCTAAGGCGTATCCAAGGGTACATCTGACTCTGCCCGTCCCAGTTCTCTATCTCCAAACTCCCTACAAAGGAATCTCAATATCGTTCTCATCGAAATCGAGAACGGTGCAAAGTTTTTCATTCAGTCAGATCTAATGTTGTTATAGAAATAAAAACAATCAAATATAATACTTCTCAAAACACTACTGCAAACAGCTACCTAGTCCTAGTTGTAAATATTTAGCATCACTATGAATAAAATTATCTTGATTACAAGATTCTTAAACTGCTATTAATACATGGATTACATGCGTTAGGCATTTGGCTAGCTGGCCTGTCTTTATGAACGGGCTTGTTGAAAAATTATCATAAGCAGCACTGCCCTTAGATTCCACGCGTCTAACCCACGCCTCCTTTTCGTCCTGCCGACCGAATCGACCCACCCCGTGCCCAAGTTAACATCGTGCGCTCACGACATTTTGTTGCATGCGCCCATAGGCTTAGCGTGACAGAAAGACAAAGCGAACCCTGTCTAAAAGGGCTGTTCCAATACAATTACATGTAATCACCGCTGAAATAATAATAGTATTGGTTTTCCTTCACGACAGCTTTTGTGGCCCATCACTCCCTCTCTTTCTTAAAGGCTCTCTGCCTTCATGGCGTAAAAGCGCAGCGTAGGGCGTTGGGGGAATGATGAGCCTTGAACAAGATGGTTGGAGACTTATTAAAGATGTAAAGAACTAACCCAAAGCAATCATTCCAAACTGTTCCGGTTCGTACAAGATGCGCTACGCATAAGCAATATGGCAATACAATGAAACCTGGCACGCATCGCTAGCTGAGATATCATTTTTCGTCAACTATACCCCTAGAAAGTTTCCCCTTTATTTTTTGCGCCTGGTGACTACAGTTCAAACAAGTGCGTACTGCAAATTTTGTCTGTTACGTATTAGATTAGAGGCATTGTTTCTTCGATCATACTAGATTCGATCGACATTGTTTTGGTTAGCTATTTGCAGAACACTATTGACCATTTTCAATGCGTGTAACTACTGTTTATCTGTAATATTTAAACAGTATGGATGTCATAACATCCATTACAGAATTGTATTAATCTAAAAATATGTCATCATTTTTATGCTTGAAGAAGATAGATGTATAAAATATACATCTATCTTCTTCAAGACTACGGTTCATTGTGTCATAGTCAATAATCAAATAATGGAACCTGACAAAGCAGTTCCCGTTCAAAGAGAGAACAGATGACCCAAGTCGACTAGGTTGAAACCCTAGATTCCTCTAGCAGATCCTTGAAGTTTTCTCTTTTATCTAACTTGAAAGCCTCCTGACTACACAAAAACAATGACTCTTGAAGGGGAACTCTTCAGAGGTACAGCCCCCAGGGATAACTCGCAGAGGTAAGGTTTTATGACGAACAGATCGGGGTGCACACCGATCCTTGGCGACCGATTTGCTGGCTGGCTGGCTGGCTGGCAAAGTTTGGTGGGCTATTTTTTTCAACCATTATTATTATTATTTTTAACCTCTTCGGTGTGAGAGTCGGTGACGGTCGGGCGCGGTGAGAGATTTAGAAACAATTACTCGACTGCTCAGGAAGAAAACGATGACGGTGGAGAGATCGGAGCTTCATGTAGGAAAGATGTCAGAAAGAGGAAGATCCGAAAAAAGCGAAAGTCACCGGCCGATCAAGTAGCCAACCCGACTAAACTGGGAACGTGGAGGGCAGATACCAGCGCTACTCATGTGCAGCGAAGGCCGATGGATGCTATGGCTGCTGGAGGAATAGTTTAAAGCGAAGACTTCGAAAAGATTTAAGGCGAAGAAGAGGTTTTCGGCTGGTCCAGGGCAAAAGAAGGTTGGTTACTCCATCGGCAACAGACAGCAACGATTCTGGAACTTCTATCGCCGCCGTTGCCCTTTCGATGATATATTAAGGCTTCTTCTTGCGCTTTCGCGACAGTAGCAGATATAGGCGTATAGGTGAAGGCACATACCTATATATGAGGAACAACTGGTGCTCAGCAAGGAGCAGCAACTGAGTAGCGCAAGCATC